GTTGTTCACGTTTACTTAATCATTTCTGTCCTAATTATTTTTATTCTAAGTAAACTAGAATAATACCATTTTTTTGAAGAAAGAAAATTACCATGGAAAAATAATGCTTTTTTTTTTAATTGAAGCCAGGAACATTTATGATCATACTTGCTTAAAAGTCATCTCAGTTAAAGAATCTTGGTATCTTCCTTACTTTTGTTGTGAATGCGCCTTCCCTTCCTTTCTCCCTCTTATTTCCTCAGATTACCCTGGAAGTAAGTATCCTGGATATGCATAAAACACTAAACATTATTCAGAAAATTTATAGACAAAAGTAAAAAGTATCTAAATGGTAATATATTAGCTTTGCAATAGTCAGTGACAACTAGACCTGGAAATCCACCCCTCCTCAGTTCTGTGACCAATTGTATAGAACTGAATAGAACCAAAGAGCTGTAGAAGAATACAACCCCAGACCAAGGGGACCAGGTGAGGGAAGAGTGTGAGCAGTTGCCTTCGGCAGATTTTCATCTCAGGTAACTAAAAATCCAGAAAACTCCTTATGAGGAAGGTGGCAAGAAATAGTTCCCTAGTCAAATGACAGTGGCAAAAATGTCTTCCAGAACAAGGGGCTATGTTTTCCAAAACCCATTATGCATGTTTAAACTTCCTTGTCCTTCATTGTTGACACTGAACCAGCTACTGGAGTCAAAGTCTATTTGTGTTTATTTCCGTCTGTATCACAAAGTAAAATAAAAACTTGGAGTCACTGCAGTACAGCTCAAGGAATCAAATACAGATTTGCTGAAAGGGAGTTACTTTCTTTATCCCTTTGAGATTGGAATCATAGGAGATGGCATGTTCTGTGGCAGGTAAACGCTGCGGTTACCTCATTCCTCAGAAAATAACACTGGGCCTGAGGGCGTCAGTGAGCACTGAAGGTTCAGCAAAGAGAGTCTTGAAGTGAAGGTTGCAGAGTTGGTTCTAGGATAATAGGGATGGATACATCTAGGCCTATGTATAGGATAAGTTTTAAAGAGATGCAGAAATTACCATAAGTATAGGAGCCTTATTTAGTATTTTTAGTCCTTTCTTTAGAATGGGTTAATTTTTTTTCTAAGGAACAATGTAGAAGCCTTAGAAATGAACTGTGGGCCAGGCTCAGTGGCTCAGCCTGTCATCCCAGCACTTTGGGAGGCCGAGGTGAGTGGATTACCTGAGTCCATGGGTTCAAGACCAGCCCGGGCAACTTGGCCAGACCTCATCTCTACAATAAATAAAAAAAAATTAGCCGGGCATGGTAGTGCGGGCCTGTAGTTCCAGCTACTTGGAAGGCTGAGGCGGAAGGATCACCGGAGCCCAGCAGGTTGAGACTGTGGGACCGGGAGCGGCCACCGCACTCCAGTCTGGGTGGCAGAGTGAGACTCCGACTCAAAAAAAAAAAAATAAAGAAAAAAGAAATGAACTGTCAATAGTGCAACTTTTAGTAGGAAGTAAAATGAAAGCAGAATGGAGCTACCATGATAGAGTGGGTAGTGCCAGGTGTTAACAGAACATAAACAGTTGTAGGATAAAGAGTTATGGCTTTGGAAAAGACTGTGTGGCAAGCAATCCAGACACAAATTGTAAAACGAGTCCTGTTGTTTTAATTTAGTGTGGCGTTAAAAGGAAATCTTACTATTTCATATAAGCCTGGTTTGTAACAGACTGTGTGGCTGAGATTAAAGGGATGTTTTTAAGTTATCCCATATTTTGCTAAACAAAAATACCTTAAAGTCTGGGCAATGTAAAAAGAAAAAAAGAATACAAACAAACTGGTGCTGGTTCATATTAGACATTCAGTAAAATAGGATAAGGACCAACAACCTTGAGATTGATTGAATGTAATGTGGAAAGGAGGATTATGATGGCTTTTTAAAAGATATTTGAATATTTCAAGTGGTCTCTTGTGAAGTAGACACTAGAATTTTTCTGTATGAACTCAGTGGGGTAGAACCAGGACCAGTGGATGTTACCTCCAGTAAACTAGATTTTTGACTCGGCACAGTAACTTTCTAACACGGAGAGCAATTCAAAGTTTAGGTTAGGCTAGATTATGAGTGAAGTTATAAGAGAACTACATCAGAACAATAGTCAATAATTTTAAAAAAAACTATAAGCCAGGCTTGGTGGCTCAGCCTGTAATCCCGCGCCTTTGGGAGGCTGAGGTGAGTGGATTGCCTGAGCCTGCGGGTTCGAAACCCGCCTGGGCAGAGAGACCTCATCTCTACAATAAATCAAAAAATCAGCCGGGCGTGGTAGCGCATGCCTGTAATTCCAGCTAGTTGGAAGGCTGAGGCGGAAGGATCGCCGGAGCCCGGCAGGTCGAGGCTGCGGTGGCCGGGAGCGGCCACTGCACTCCAGTCTGGGCGACAGAGTGAGACTGCAACTCAAAAAACAAAAAAACAAAAAAATATAACAGTATCAGAAGCAGATATGTAGGGATAAATTTAACAACAAACATACAAGATCGCTACATGAAAATGGCAAATAATGGGAGATATTAAAGAAGACATAAAGACATGAAGGATATACGTTCATGTTCATGGATTGGAGAACTTAATATTGTGAAGATGTCATTTCTCACCAAATGTATCTGTAGTCAGTGGAAAGCCTAATCTAAATTTTTGCATTTTTTAAAAAAGGTGACTCTAAAATGTATATAGAAATGCCATAGCCATGGCATTCTGGAAGAAGAATGATATCATAGACATCAGTACACTTACAAAGCGGTGGTGATTAAAGCTTTGGGTTGGGGTAAAGAGACCAGTGGGACAAAAATAGGGAATCTGGAAACACACATTCGTATATGTATGTTAAAACTAGCACTGAAGAGCAGCAGGGAAAGGATGGCCTTTTCGGTAAATTGTGGTTGGGCAGTTAGAAATTCATGTGGAAAAAATACGTAAATATTGATTCTTACCTAATACATATAGAAACATAAGTATCAAATGATATTTATGGTGTGGTATGTGATAGAGCAGAAAGTGTTGAGAGGAAAATAGAGGAGACTCCATGTTCTTGAGGTAAGCAAAGATTTCTTCAATAAATATATAAAGCATTTGCCATAAGAGAAAAAATAGGTAATACATTATTACAATTACTTTTCTTTTTTCTAAAGACTCCATTAAGAGAGTTAAAAAAAAAAAAAAGATACAGAGTAAGAGGAGGTATTTCTCGTATGTATTTCCAACGCAAGACTTCTACCCAGAATATACATAAATAAATATCTAAACATCAGTAAGAAAAAACAAGACAACCCAATACAAAATTGGGCATAAAACATCAATAAGCACTTCACAAAAGAGGCTCCTCATGTGGACGATAAATACAGAGAAAGGTTATGAACTCCATTAGTCATCACAGTGTGATACCCCTAAACACACAAGATAATGGTAAAAAGACAATACTAAGCATTGGCGTGGATATGCAGCAACAGAATTGTCAGATGCTCTTGGTAGATGTGTATTGTGCAGTCATTTTAGAAAGCTGGTAGGATTTCCCAAAGCTTAATTTACACAAATGCCACGACCTCAGAGTTTCAGTGTTTGATACTCGTGCCATGGAAATGCATACATACATTTAAGAAAAGATATGCACAAGAATGTTCATCACAGCCCCAAATGAAAAGCAACGCAAATGCCCATTGTCTCCAAATTAATTATAGCATTTCATAACCATGAAAAACCTTATGATAGAGACAGTGAACCACAGCTACCTGCAGCGACGTGGGTGACTCGCAGAAACATGCTGTTGAGAGAAAGAAGCCAGACATCAAAGTTTCTACTTTAGAATTCAGAAGCAGGGAAATGAATCTATGGTGCTCGTCTCAGGGAAGTGGTCACCCTTGCTGGGTGGGGTGTGCCTGGAAGGGTGTGATGCCTGTTGTTTTTTGATCAGGGCGTTAGTTACGTGGGTGTGTTCACTTTGTGAGAACTCAGTGAGCTTAGACACTTGATGATGTGTGTACCTTTCTGTAAATCGTATTCTTCAAGGGAAAATAAGTTTACTTTAAGATACTCTTAGAGATGCAAAAGCAAGAATTTGTGGTGGAACTGAAGGATCACGGTGGTGAGTGGATATGTGAGGGGAGAGTAAGTGTGGGGGCAAGAGCCTTTCTTCTGAGTTGCTCTGAGTGAGCCGTTTCCAGAAAAGCTTTCTGTTCTGATGGATCACGAGGAGATGACTGTTGACAAGCTCTCACTGAAGAGTCCCGAAGACAAAAATCATTTGTTAGAGAAAGGCTGTTTGTAAGGAAGCAGCAGTAAACTAGGTTTGGATTCAGAAGCTCTAACACAGAATGAGGATGTTTGGTAGGTTTTTTTTTTTCATTTGTTTTTTAATAGACGAGGTCTTGTTCTGTCATCCCAGCTAGAGTGAAAATATGTAGTAGTTTTGATTTTGATCTGGGCAAATAAGAAGTGACAAAAGCTTTTGCCTTCCATTTTATTTTTATTGCAATAATTTCATATTCCTTTCAGAATATAAGTTGGTTATTTAAAGAATCAATGTGATTAGTAAGTAAAAGCTGGACGATCAAACCAAGCCCGAGACAAAAGGAGAGAATAAGCACAGTAACCACATGGAAAACACAGATACCGGGGCTTGAGCGCACAGCCCAGCCATCACCTTTACAACAACCAAAGCAGAGGGGAACAAATACAATTCCTGTGATGAGAGGTCTTTTCTTTGCTGCTGAAACTCTGAGGTGCATTTCTTATGTAGAGCACCAAAGAAACAACATCAAACAATGTAATGAAGCATGCCTTTAATGTAATAGGTGCTGCAGCAGACATGTAATTTGGATTTACAGTTGTTGTTTTTTTACAGTGATCTTTAGTAACCACAAAGGAGAATGTAAGCGTTCGATAAGTATAATGCTAGGAACCAATGCCTTCATGACCCCGGCCCCAGTCTTGTTATCTGGGGGAGATATGCGGCATTTGGCAGAGAGTGACTTCCCATTTGTTTCCATTGAGCAGGTACCCGGGAAGAGCCCACTGTCCAGCAGGCCCAGCGTCGATCGGCTGTCTTCTTGTCCTTTAAGTCCCCAATTCCATGTCTGCCCTTGCGCTGGGAGCAGCAAAGCAAACTTCTTCCAACGGTCGCTGGAATCCCTGCCAGTAAAGTTTCCAAATGGAGCACAGACGAGGTATTTTTTTTTTTTTTTTCTCTTTTTCTTTTTTTCTTTTGGGGGCTGTCAGGCATCAGGTAGAGGAGTTCTGGCTTAAGCAGTGGTAGATGCATTGAGTGCACATAGGGTTTAGTCTTTTTTTTCCGGAGAGAAACTACTTGGAACATATGGGTTAAATGTTCTGAGCCTGTAGGCTTTAGATTCTGTTTTTTTCTTAACGAGGAATTTTGATATTATTTTTGACAGGTGTCAGAATTCATACAGAGCTTACCTGGATGTGAAGAACATGGGAAGGTATTTAAAGATGAAGTAAGTGTTCCTCTCAATTGCAGTATGTTACATACTGGGATCAAAAACTGAAATGCAGTGAGTAGAGAAATGTGTTGAACTGGCAGAGTCAGGGAGAGATGGGTTGTGTTGAACTTGATAAATTTATATATAGTCATCTGTCGGGCAGCATTAATCAGTTGTATAAAAATGTCTTTGTATAAGCTGGAAAGGAATGTTTGTAAGTACCATTTTATGAAGTTCACAGCAGTTACACTAGACTCCTTATAAAAGAAAACCCACAAAACTTAATAGCATGCACATTTGTAGCTTGTCGCACAGAAAGAATCCAAAGAAAGAAATAAGCAGTATTTTATTTTTTTAATAATGTGAAATTAGCGTCCATTATTTCCAAACCTCATTCTAACAGCACTACAATTAACTCCATTTGGTGCTTATAATAAATAATATTACTGTTACTGCTAAAAACAATCTCTTAAGTTATATGCATTTCTCAGTAATGCTTATGATAGGTATTTATCACAGTCTGCTTTGGGAAGGTTCTTTTATTAGTTGTTTTCAGCTGCCTCTCTAAAACTTGAATAGAAGGCATGATTAACACTGATATCACCTGCACTGAGCTAACTATACTGGAAGAAATGCTGTTAGAGTACAGCGGGAGACCCTTTTCACTAGAGACCTTTAAAAATAAGCCACTTGCCTGTCATCTCCTCCAAGCAGAGTGTCAGTTATCACTCTGAATTTGGCTCTGTAATGCTGCCAGAAGGCAGAACACAGACTAAGTAGTCTCAGAAGGCATTTGCCGACATCTGTCTACGTGTACACACACCTTGTTTGCCTCATATCAAAAGCTCAGCTACAGCACACTTTCAGTTTCACTGCAGGAGTGTAGGCACAGCTAAGAATCCAGCCACTGGCCTCAGTGTCTATACACTAGTAGATACCATTTATGCTTTAGACGAAAGCCTGTTAAAATGTACCAGGGCTGGGCACGGTGGCTCCGCCTGTAATCCCAGCACTTTGGGAGGCCGAGGTGAGAGGATTGCCTGAGCATGGGGGTTCGAGGTCAGCCAGGGCAGCTTGGAGAAATCTCAGCTCTACAGTAAATCACAAAAACTAGCCGGGTGTGGTGACACACACCTGTAGTTCCAGCTACTTGGAAGGCTGAGGCGGAAGGATCGCTGGAGCCCAGCAGGTCAAGGCTGCGGTGGCCATGAGCACGCTGCTGCACTCCAGCCTGGGTGACAAGAGTGAGACTCCAACTCCAAAAAAATAAGTACCAGGATCTGATTTTCAGCATCTTTTTTCTGATTTATGTTCTTATTGCAGAAATGTTGTATTTCTATCTATTTGATCTTTAATTGGCAACCATTCCGATTTTGAGTTTCTTTCCCTAAGTCCCAAGTATCTTCACAGACACTCTCAATTAATTTTCTATCCCTGAACAAACTTACTATTGCTCTTTCCAGGAAAGAGACATGTAGTCATCAGCTTTGAAAATGATACAGCATTTTTGAAATTAAGTTTATCATACATCTGTTTTATAAATTCTGTTTTTAATTCTGTAGATATTTATATAATCCATATAAGTTTGCCCTATCCTTTAATTTAAGATTCAGGTTCAATTTCACAATGGTGTGGTGGCTCTTGGAATAAGTTTCTTCTGCACGACCAAGAAGTGCCAAATATCCTGAAAGCCAAATTCTTCTTTGAAGAGAACAGTTGATGTTCTCTGTTTCATTCATGTATTCATTCATTCCTTTGTTCATGTACCTTGTACACATTTGTTCATTTCTACCATGTGCTTGTTACTTTGTGTAATGCTCTTGTGAAAAGGTTCATTCAAAAACAATAACACACAATCCTCGCTCTCAAATGTCTCACAGAGGCAGTGGATATTGGTTTTAAGTCCTAGAAGTAAACCGTAATACCAGTGTAACTCAAGTCTCCTGCATCATCTCTAAAAGACAGAGTCCGGGTGTTTGGATTGGCGGTTACCAGAAAACATCCTGGATGTGCCACACCTAATTGTTTGAAAGTCCTACCAAGTGTATTTTAAATACATACATAGATTCCGTCTCTCCGCCTCCACCCTGCTGTCGTGGTCTGAGCCACCATATCTCCCACCTGGATGAGTATGGCAACCCCCCACTTGGTATTCCTGTATCTGTTTTGGCTCCTGTGCAACCTGTTTCCAGTGCAGCCAGGATGGGCCTGCTGAAACTCCTGTCAAAGCCTGTCACTCCTTGGTCCAGATCCTCCCAGTACCTCTCAGAGTCAAAGCAGGCGTCCTTTCAAGGGCCTGCAGTCTGACCCCTCATTGCCTCTCCTGCCTCCTGGCCTCTTGGTTGGCGCTGCCCCGGAAGTTCTGCGTGCAACCCCCTTGCTGCTCCTCCAATCGCCCAGGCGTGCTCTAGCAATTCTGCCCGCCCGGATCGTTCTTCCTCCTCTGTTCACACGGCTCACTCCCTCTGCTCCGATGCCAGCTTTCTGGTCAGCCCCAGAATGGCCCTGAAACTGCCTCTTGTTACCCACATGCCTCCCTGGCGTTACTCCCCATGAGCCTCCCCAACTGGGTCTCTTTCTTCGTAACACTAATCACCTTCCATAGTCAGTCCCCCACTGCTAGAATACAGACTCCACCAGGAGTTTGTTTTATTTTTCCTACTTGCTTGTTTTTGTTTTACCCGTTTTATTCTCTGCTGTGTGCCCAAACCCAAGAATGTTTGGAAGATAATAGATAGCACCTTTTTTGAGTGAACGCACTTGTACCTTTCCACTCCGAGGAAGACTCATTCAGACAGAGCATGTCACTGTGGTTTTTTGAGTTAAAAAACAAATTGTATACGTTGGGCAGAGCAGTGAAACAGAAGGCAAGAGCTCCTGAGGGCCAAATCCTTCTTCCTTGTTTTAGGCCATTAGCAAGACACCTCGTCTTAGGATATATACAGTATATCTACATTGTGGAAGCAAACAAACAAGAAGTTAACCTAGTCATACATCACAATGGTCACTGTTGTTTTTAGAAGTACTTTTTTTTTTTGAGTTGGAGTCTCACTCTCTCACCCAGGCTGGAGTGCAATGGCACGCTCACGGCCATGCAGCCTCAACCCTGCTGGGCTCAGACAATCCTTCCACCTCAGCCTTCCAAGTAGCTGGAACTACAGACGTGTCCCACCACGCTTGGCTAGTTTTTTGATATATTGTAGTGTCCAGGTCTTGCCAAGTTGCCCAGGCTGGTCTTGAACCCCTGGGCTCAGGCAGTTTCACTTCTGCCTCCCAAAGTGCTGGGATTATAGGCATGAGCCACCACGCCCGGCTAAAACGTACTTTCTTAAGACCAGGTGTGGTGGCTCACACCTGTAACCCCAATGCTTTGGGAGGCCAAGGTGGAAGGATCACTTAAGGCCAGGGGATCATTACCAACCTGGGCAATGTAGCAACACTCCATTTCTATATTTAAAAAAAAAAAAAACAAAACTCGCTCGGCTCGGTAGCTCAGCCTGTAATCCCAGTGCTTTGGGAGGTTGAGGTGAGTGGATTGCCTGAGCGCGCGGGTTCGAGACCCACCTGGGCAACTTGGCGAGACCTCATCTCCACAATAAATCAAAAATCAGCCGGGCGTGATAGCACACGCCTGTAGTACCAGCTCCTTGGAAGGCTGAGGCAGAAGGATCGCCGGAGCCCAGCAAGTCAAGTGCCACCGCACTCCAGTCTGGGTGACAGAGTGAGACTCCAACTCAAAAAAAAAAAAACAAAACTTAGCTAGGCAGGTGGCACACACCTGAAGTCTCAACTACTCAGGAAGCTGAGGTAAAAGGATTGCTTGACCCCAGAAGGCTTGAGGCTAAAAATAAAAAAGAAAATACTTTCTTGAACTAAATTTACTTCCTTCCAAGGAACACTTGTCCTTGTAGACATGTGTCCGCGCGTCCTGTATGCCACGTACTGAGTTTGGCACTGGCCTCAAGATTTTTGCTTTTTAGTCTTACCTTAATAAACACAGATCTGCCCACATGTATCCTTCTTGCCCCCCTCTTAACTTCAGATCCCAGCCTCTCTGTTTTCGGGACATTCCTTTTCGTCAGCTATCTGTCATATTAAGCACTTACGTGGTCTCAGAAGGACCGTTGGGGACCGCTGAAGCCTTCATTGGGGCCCAAGGTTGTAATAAACACATCAGTCTTTGTAGCAAGCTCCTTGGGAAACAGGTGCGATGGTTGACATTTTTGTGAATGACTTGAAAGACTCTACCAGGCTTTCCATTTTACTAAGGCCTGCCTTGGTTGAATGAAGTGTTCATAGACCTGTCTGTCTTTCTGACCTGGCTTTATCAGAGGGCTGTCACTGCAAGGGCAGATGAGACCAGAGCAAAGGTTTCCACAAAACTGTAGAACGTTTCTCATTTCTGCCACTTAACTGTGTTACGCGTGAAGGATTAACATTGGAATGTTCTTTCCTTCTTGTTTACGGCAGCAGAATGTTTTCTCACTGAAACTAGCAAGTTTTCCCCACACAATTGTCATTTAAAGTTGTACAAGATGACTCTGGTTCTTACTGATTAAGGGTGTAGGCAATTCAGAATTACTGGTTTTTCCCTTTTTAGAGGAGGAGGAAAATCCTGAGAAAGATTACTTAATTACATCAGCCTTCAGAGAACCGTTTGCAGGATTTGGAGTTGTACTAGTGGGCTGAGGTGACCATAACAAAGTACTACAAATCAGTGGCTTAAATGGCAGGAGTGGATTGTTTGTCAGCAGATTCTGGAGGCCGGAAGCCTGAGGAAAGCTAGAAGGCTCGGTGTCGGCAGGGCTGGTTCCCTCTAAGGGATGTGAGGAAAGAATCTTTTCCAGGCCTCTCTCCTTAACTTCTTCAGGTCTTCATATTGTTTCCTCTCTATGTGTGTCTGTCTCCATGTCCAAATTTCCCCCTTTGATAAGGACACCAGCCATATTGGATGAGAGGCCCACCCTATTCCAGTATGACCTCATCTTAACTGATGACACCTGCAATGACCCTGTTTCCAAATAAGTTGACATTCTGAGGTACTGTGGGTTAGGACATCAACACAGGAATCCAGGGACACAGTTCAACCCATAACACGGTATACTGCTGTCAAGATTCCTTATGTACTCTGAGGCAGAGAACAAAAGTGTGTTTTATTTTTTTGTATAAGGTGGGAACACTGAAAGAGAAGTGAATTTTTTTATGCTGTTAGTCATGCAAAAAGACTCTGTCCCCTGGCTCTGTCCAATAAACCAGACGTCATCATTGTGTTGGATCTTTGTACCTCATAGGTATGTTGAACCTTTGGACTTTTAGAGACTAGTGGTCAGTTCTCTAGAACCATGGATGTTTGTCTTAGAGGGGCCCAGAGGGAGAGAGGGTCTTTCCCATGGTTACCCGAGTGGTAGAAGAACCAACTTAGAGTCTGTGACTCTTAACCATGGTCTCACATTCTCCCAACTACACGGTTGATTGTTCTTGTTAGTAATTGCTCTTCTTCTGTATGTAAAGACTAAGTGTGGCCACACTAGAGATAACTGCTGTCTTGCTGATTTTTTTTTCTTCATGGTAGAAAGTTAATTTTGAAAGCATTATTGCACATAGCTGATATGTTTGCTTGAATTATATTATATCCACAAACATTTTGTACCTGTTATTGTGTCTCATTTAAAAAGCTGCCATGATATGAGCTGGATTCAGGGCTTCCTGGGTTTATTCATATTCTTCCTCCCTCCACACCTAAGTCAAAGTAATCACAGGAAGGTGTGGATGCCTTCCGTTTTCCTGTGGGTTGAGTTTTCGGATGAGGGAGTTTACTTTGCTCCCAAGTTCACCTTTGGGTGTGTTGTTAAGAAAGATCCATACATTAGGAAAGGTCAATACACACAAGAACTCCCGTGTGTGCCCTTTTAAGGTTGCAATATAAGAGGCAGCTGATAATTAAGCTTCAGATATTTCCCACAATACTACGTTCCATTAATCCACATTCTTTTGTGTTTTCCCCCCATTTTAGCAAATTGATGGAGAAGCATTTCTACTTATGACCCAAACGGACATTGTCAAAATTATGAGCATTAAGCTGGGCCCTGCCCTGAAGATTTTCAATTCTATCCTCATGTTCAAAGCGGCAGAGAAGAATTCTCACAATGAACTTTGAAGATGGTGGAGTCTGAATACCATCAGCTTTCTGCTTTAAAGCTCATGTTTTATTCAAAGCACAAGGATGGGCAGTCACTCCCAAGTGAGAAGTCTCCAAAACTCAAAAAAGCAACACTATCGGATTATTTATATTCCCCAAGAGACGATATATATGAATTCTTATGAAAGTGCTTGAGCTTTTAACTAGGTACTGTCTAACAACAGTCATCTTTTGGTTCTGTTCACTGAGCTAAATTTATCTTTGTAAATCTTTTTGAGGCTGGGGGTGGGAGGGAGGGGACTTCATTATTTATGGATGGGGGGCAGAGTAAAAACTTTTGGCATTTTGTAAACATTGTTGAATTCTCTTTCATGTACACTGCTTTTTTTCCCCCAGTACTTTCAGAAACCTTTTTATATAATCAGATTTCAATTTAAACCAAATCAGTCAAAACCTGGCTAAGCGTAGCCAGTGGGACTGTTCTCTGTATTGTTAATTTCGTGCCATATTTTGAATTGCAGCATTACGCTGAGTATAACTTTGCAAGTCATGATACTAACTGCCTGTCATAATTTGTTGGGGCTGAATAGTTGTAAAAATGACTTTCCTTCGAATCAGTGTTTTTACTTTTGCACGCACTATAAAATGTTAAACACATTACTTTTCACCAGCATCTTTACTATAATTACCAAAAACATGTATATAAAAAAATGGAATTGAAAAATAAAATATATCAACAAATAAATTAGGTAGCGAATGTGAGTGGCATCCGTTTCATGCATCGCGGTGCCCATGTTTACGAGAGTCAGAAGATATCAGAGGAGTATGCAGTTGTGTTGAGGGGGATGGATGTGAGGATCTTAGGAAGTTATGAGATGATCCTGATTGTCATTGACGTAACTGTCGTGCTTTGCGGAGACCAAGGGCCCGTTCCGTGGAGGAACGTCATCTGCAAAGAGCTCCAGCCCAGGTCCTGCAGTGGCTCCCAGACCCACAGGCTTTCTTCAGGGTTGGCCGCAGAGTGAGTGTCTAGATTTTACTGAAGAGACAAAGTGCAAAGGAATAGCACCAGGTGACACAAAATCCTAAACGCTCACAGATCGGGAGGTGATTTCCCAAAGTGATAATTCCAGAACCTCCGTGACGGAAGGATTCCTTTTTCTGTAGAACACTTTGCCTCAATAGTGAAGCATACAGATGCACTTTAAATGAAAACCCTTGATTATCTGTAAACGGATAGCTGGTAGTATTTCTTTTGCAAGAAAGCATTTCAAGGCAAGAGGTAGATTATTGTGTCCGTCTTTTGATGGGCTTTCTAATTTCAAGATTGGATATTTATTCAAGGACTATTTTAAAGATAGAAAGGAAGTTCGTAGCATGCTGTCTCAATTCCAGGGAAAGTTCCACCTCTTTCCTGAGTTGCTCCCCTTTTTCTGTTGTGTGGGACCTTCCTCTGATGTCCCCGTGGGAGGTCTATCCACAGCCTTTGCATTTGTCATCAAGGTGAAGCAGGGTCCAGTGACATCTGCAGTGTCCCTTTTATTTCTTTGCATGAATCTGCTTAAATACATTTTTTTGGTTTTTATTTTTTCTCCTTTTTTAATGTTTTGTTCAGAATTTGTACATTCAAGTTGTACTTGTTATATCTGTTATGAATGAAATAAAAGCTTAATTGCAGAGACGTCTTTACATATGTGTGGTTTTTAAGAAAGCTTGTCAAATAGAAGAGACAGAACAAGAACAGAAACATCAACAGTGTGTGGGCTTTAGATAGCTGTGTAAAGATTTGTAGGATTCAGAACTGTTTGTAGAACTATGTCTCACGATGTGACAAGAGACAGAAAAAAAATTCTAAGACTCTGTTGTTAGGTTAAGTAGAATTTATCCCCATTGGGAATTGTTCCCTTCTAGTTTAAAGGATATATTGTAAGGAAACAGACTTTTAAATCTTACTGAAAACATCCATTCATTTTAGGCTACATGTTACTCTGTTAGAGGTAAGGCATTCCGCACCCTTAAGGTAGCGCAGAACTCCGTGTACCTCAAGAAGGAAACTTTGCCACTCCATCCCTGGCATATGGTCCAAGTTCTAACAGACTAAATAGAAAACCATGATGTTAGGGAGTTCCCTCCAATGAGGAAGCAGGCGTGAGATGACACAAAAGGGAGGAGCAGGGCGTGGTGGCTCACGCCTGTAATCGCAACTAAGCAGGAGGCTGACGTGGGAGGACTGCTTGGGCCCAGGAGTTCAAGACCCAGCCTGGGCAACATAGTGAGACCCCTTCTCAAAAAACAAGGGTGGGGAGAGAGGGATGGGAAATGTGGCCCCTAGTAGGACTTTCCCATCTGTAGGCATTTTGTTTATATTTAAAACACCGCGCAAGTCAAATTAAATCAACAGGTTGATCATCTGTCCTCAGGCTGCCATTTTGCAGCTTCCAGGTAGAGTCAGTGGACTCAGCTCTCAGTGGAAATAAGGGTAGGTTAGTCAAGCAGTGTTGAATATTTACCAGTGGCAGGACCATGCTGGGCCCTGGGGTATGTTACTGAGAAAGACAGTCAAACGGACGTCAGTCTGCCCTCGCGTCCAGCCCATGTTGGTGTCGTGCTCACTGCGGTTTCCCCCAGCTCCACCCCGCCCCGTCCCTCCGCCCCAGCCTGAGCGTGGCTGTCATTCAACTGCAGCCACAGAGATGTGTACTTCATAAGGAAAGGAGTCTGTTAAAAGTGGGTACATTTATTTGGGAGAAGGGAAGGAGCAATAAAGGAAGGTTTGTAAGGAACTAAAGGTACATTCTAGTGAAAGGGAAGACATGGACATCATGGGAGAGGAACTAGTTTATGCCAGATGATATGTACCAGACTGTTATTGACACTGCCTGTCCATTCTGATATAAGTAGTTAATGAATAGTCATGGTAGAGATGGGCAACTTCTTTTATTATTTTTATCTCACTCACTTCAGTATTTTCATGAAATATCCTTACACAAAGAATGGTATCTAGGCTCCCATTATTTCAGTGAGAGAATAAATATTTTGCAGTAGTTCCAGCGATGGGTGGCGTATGAATATTTCTTTAAGTAATTCATATGAGCCTCTTCTTAAACTTTTAAAAAATGTTAATGTGATGAAGTAACCCAGGAAATGCTCATCCCATTGTGATGCAGGTATTTTAACACACTTTGAATCTCTTTTCAGTCCCCAAAGGAACCGATCTGTCTTTCAAAACTAATGAATAGGTATTTTAATGATAGCAGCAAGGGGCATTTTAAAAATGTAATTTTGTGGGGCTTTTTTTCCTGGTGAAATATGCGGGAAAAGAGAGTGCACCGGGCCTCGTTGGACCCCAAAAGTGCTTACGCAGCCACTGTTATGAGCAGAAAAAATGGAATTAGAACCTGGAACTCTGGGTAGTAGCCAGTTTGGCATGCAGAATGAGTCACTGCATCCCCAGGACGGGAAGCAGTAGCAGATGAACACAGATCACAACATCAGAACCTGTGTCAGCAACGAAGAGGCCTCAAGAACGCTGGAGACCTTATTCGCGGGGCCAGGCAGGTCACTGGGGGAAAGAGGCATGAGAAGCATCTGCCCCTTCTTGAAATGTTAAAGTTCAAAACGTTTCCAAGTGGTAGACCAAGGAGACAGCCCAGAAGCCACCAAGGTGCAACTCCTGGGCTTCAAATCTTCCTCAAGTTAGGACACATTGAGTCAAGTGCAGAGTCATGCTCTAACCCTAAGGAGTTGAAGAAATCCGAAGTACGGTGTCTTTTAGAAAAACGGCACCATTAAAAGCATAACTTTGACCATGGCGTTTCTAAAGACACAAATCAAATAAGCCGCTCTTTAAGTTGCATTTTTATTACAGAATTTCATGAGGAGCTTAATATCTAAATGTAAAGATAGGAGGCATTGAAATTCATTAGCATCTTTGACAGAGGATGATTTTCTGATACCTACCTCTGCCACAACCCTAAATCAAAACGGTTTATAAAGTTTCGACTTTTCCAGAGGCAAATTCTGATATAATACTTGCCGTGCTATTAAGTGGTTGGGTGGTGAAGTGATACTTCCTTTTCCTTTTCTTTCAAAGAAGGAAAATAGGGACTGTGTATATCAAAAATCAACGTTTCTAGGAATTTGAGCGTTTGGGACAGTCTTTTTGGACACTGAATTCCAAATACATGAAAGGCAGCTATGAGCGCGGCCACAGCTGTAACACAATCGCCCACCTTGGCAAGCCTCTCTCTTTCTAGATAGAGAAAAAATTCACAGATCCCGATGTTAAAGGGGTCTTTAACTTTTAACACAGGTGTGGACGCTCGCACCTGAAAAAAAGAATGCAGTCACTACCATGGTATATAAAAGAGCTAAATAATAAAATGTATTTGAACTTAACCATGATGTTATAATAAATGAGCATGTTGCAATTAAGCCTATTGGCAGATATGACAAAACATGCTTCAAAATAGACCCCCATTCTGTTTTTAAACAAATTATCATAAGAATGTTAACGGTCATTGATATACAGCATACCTTTCCATTCACAACGACAAAAAGGCTGGGATCATCCCCAAAAACATCCGGGAGGAGTAAGCATGCGGCTGTCATCTTCATATCTGTCAAAGCAAACATTTACATTGAAGGAAAAATATGATTTTAGCAATTGTAAGCAAAGCTAATGTCAAAACATCTGGACTTGTTGTTGTGACTGTCTACAGAAAAAAAAACTAGCCTTCCTAGGTTGGTGTTTCACAACCTTTTAAAACCACATCCTCTTCTAATAAAACATTTGCAATCTCACGTCTGCCCTTCATATCTCTGCTGTACTCACTGGCCATCAGCCAGGATTATTTTATCATGTTTCACCTTGTGATTGGTATTATAGAATTAACAGGTGACTCGTTCCCTAAATATAATTGTACAATATCCAGTGTCCTTTAAAAATAGATACCTCTACTCCCCCACTTATTTGAAAATTCTTTTTTCTTTCTCACCAGTTCTTTCACCGAATTGTCCGTATTACCACAACAGAGCTTTTCTAAATATCCTGAATTGCCCAGATAGCTGAGACCGAATCACCCCAGTCCGCAAGGTTACTAACATGTCAACCTGTCTTCGTCTGCATACTGTTTCATTTTTTCTTGCAGTGCAATATTGATTGGATTGTCCACCACTGAAAAAGCAGTCAGTATATTTTCTGAATAGGATTCCAAGATATGCCTTGTTTTCTTATAAATATCTGTTCTTGTAAGAAGCTGAAATTCTTTGAACATCTGATAAAAGAAGAAAGCAATAGATATATTAATAGAAGGAGGAGCTCACTGAGTAAGGAGGTGACGGAGGGCCAGTGTTCACGGTTAGGCCTCTCCCCACCCATCAACTCCTCTTCTGCCATCCTGTAACCTGCTTCCCAGTACCCAGTTTTCACAATGACAGAGCAAAAGCAGGGGGAATGGTTTGGTGCAGAGGCTGCTGTCTTCCCTTAGGGACTGTTTCATAACTGGATATTTGCAAGTAAAATCAAACCTTCATCTTAGGAGGCACGGGTTTCATACATTGTAAAACCCAGCTACCCAGGGCTGCGTTAAGAAGGTTTCCCATGAGAAGACAAAAACATTTCATTCTTTTGTTTAAAACAACCAATAGACAGCTCTATTCAATAAGTACTGTCATTGTGAAAACCATACCCCAATCCACATTTTGGATGTAAAGAGTGAAATACCTGAGGGAATAGGGGAAAAGATATATGGTGGCCACCATGGGAGACTTGGGCCAAGCACAGGAAACAGTCTCAGTCTGAAATCTCTCTGTCCTCACTCAGGTCATGATGGTTCTCACTCAGTCCGACAGTTCTCCGAAAGGCCGCTGAACATGGCCTATCTGTAGAAATCACTAACCCTTTGCAGGCTGCACTCTTAATGAACTCTTAGAGCTGTGGCATCCATGCCCAGAGCAGCCTTACCGACCATCCACTAATTTGTTTCTCATCCAGACAATCAGTATTGCATCTGTGTCACAGGCTGCACTCTGCTCGGCAATTTGGGAACTACAGATATTTAAAACATGCACCCTACATTTAGAGAGTTTATAGACTATCCATTTGACAGATTTTGGCCTCAAAACTATATTTTATAGGTTGCGTAAATTTGGCATACATTTCTAATTTCCAGAGGTTGCTGGCTATTACCCTTCCTAGCAACCCAAAGATTATGAGAAAATAAAAACCAAGGTAGAGTTGCTGAGATGATTAGATAAATTAGTCTATATAAAATACTGAGAACATGGTGTTGCATAGTAAGCACTCAGATGTTTGATACTGACTTTTTTTTTTTTTTTTTTTGAGTCAGGGTCTCGCTCCATCACCCAGGCTGGAGTGCAGTGGCATGATCATGGTTCACCACAGACTTGACCTCCTGGACCCAGGCAATCCTTCCACCTCAGCTCCCAAGTAACTGGGACTACAGGTGCGCCACCACACCCAACTAAGTTTTGTGATTTTTGTAAAGATGAGGTCTTACTATGTTGCGGAGGCTGGTCTCAAACTCCTGGGCTCGAGTGATCCTCCCGCCTCGACCTCCCAAAGTGCTGTGATTATAGGTGTGAGTCACTGTGCCCCAGCCTGACAGTATTATTAAAATAATACTTATAGGCAAATTCCTATTTCAGATTTTTTGGTAGAAGAAAAACATGTAGAATCGTCTCATGTTTAATTTGATTGATTGCACCCACATAATTCTCTTTGAAATGTGTTCTCAGGTTAAAACTTTGATGAATCTTTCATTGCACATCACAGCTAAAAATTACACTAAAATTGTGTAAAGGTCCTTGAATGGCCACTTTAAGTAAATTTTATATATATATGTAACTTTTGCAAGAGTATTGGCTGTCTGCCTTGTAATACATTTTTAAAAATACTTAAGAAATGATTTGGGATCAGAAAGGAAATATATTTTGAGAAAAGATGCATAGTAGCAGTTCTTTAATAAACTATCTTGATTTTCTAAAAGTATATGAAGGGAAAACGACCCAAACTGGCAAAATATCCCTGATGACACCCCCAACCTACGCAACGTGTCCCATGACAGGGAACTCTTCAGTACTAAAGGCAGCCAGTTATCTGAATCTGCTTCCTGAAATTCTCACCAATGGTCCTAGTGGTAGCCCTCAGGCCTCACACCTGAGATTCACACCCACTGCCCCATTACCACTCCAAGAGGAGAGAAGGAAAAATCCACTTGGATGCTATAATCAGATAGCACTATAAGTCAATAAAGATACCTGATAAGGGTACTTTAAGAAAGGAAACAGTTTAAGAATGTTCTTCAGAGGGGTTCGGCTGCCAATCATCTTTCTTCTTATTTCCAAAGTCTGGCTCATCCTCTTGTCAATTTCTCTCCAGTCCTTTTCCGTTTTCACGTATTCTTGCTGGAACCAATGAATATGTTCATCTACCTCAGAATCTAAGCAAACAGCTTCTTCCTGAAAAGTATTTTCAAAATACCCGTGAATTCCATGTTTAGGGTGGCAGTTGATAGTCATGAAAACTTGAATTACAGGCTGTTATTGCACTTTTAACACACCCCTGAGGTGAGCGTCTCCATATATGGTTACACCTGACCTTGCAAGTGGTTAGCAAGTGGACAGTCTTTAATGAAAACAAATTAGATAGTTAATTATTTACCATGGAGTGACAATCTAATCCGTTGAAAGATCTAAAGGAGTTACTTTAATTCCTACATTGCCCTTTTATATGGAAACCTAGATTATCTAAAAGGTTCACGCTTAACAGGAATGTTGTTTTTTTCTGTGCATTTCAATGTTAGAAAACAAGATGTTAACAAGAAAAAAAGTTATTAAATTTAAGTTTTGTTATGGGTTTTGTCTTATTTCAGTGCCTTTTTATAGCTGCAGTACCATGCCACATAATCCAAATTCCAAATAATAGCAGTGGGTATTTTGTAATGCTAAATCATCATACTGTCGATTTCATTTACTAAACATTTGGGTGCCTGGGTCGAGTGGGGGTGGCTAAGAAATACCTCACATATTCTTGTTGCAAATCTAAGACAATCAGCTTAGAGGAAACAAGGAAAAGAACTTTCTAGAAAAATTAGTTGAGAGGACGATTGGCTGAACTGTATTTAAACGAAAGTTATCAACTGTCTAGCTGACCAGAATGTGAACAGATGTTACATGTAAAAGACAAAAAAGATGGTAAGGAGCCTGAAAGGCTTTTACATCAAGACTTTGACAAGCACATTAGGAAGGATTCAGGTAGATTCCACTATCTGTGAACACAGAATAACTAACTAGCAAGACGTAGGTCAAGTGGCAGAATTCCTAGAAAATTATAATTTATCAAAATAGGTTGAAAAGAAATCCTGTAATAAATTTAATTAGAAGATAATAGTCTCCACAAAGAAGATGAAGAGAGAACTGAATGTTTTACAGACAAAATCTAAACTTTTGAAAGTGTTCCAAATGTATGTACATTCTTTCAAGAAAAAAAAGAATACTCTTCAACCTATTCTATGAAGCTTGTATGATAGTGATCCTCAAACTTGAAAGAACAGTATAAGAATCATGAACAGGCAGCAGACAGCAGATACTCTCATATTGTCCTGCCTGTTGTGCTCTTCACACTGTATCATTTCCTTAATAAATCTACCTTTTTTAATTGAAAAAAAATCCTGGACAAAGTTGCAAACATTAGAAACAAGGAACAGCTAACTTGAGTTTATTCCAGAAATGCAATGGTGGTTTGACACTGGTAAGGGAACTAACTACGGTAAACTAAAAGACTATGATTGATTTACCCATTACATTTCACATATTATCATACTGAAATCTCAATTCGGGAGCCACAGTTATAGAAAGATTTGGGGTAGAAAGGAAGAAGATTTTGAGAAATGTAGTGTGTTAACAATTCTATTATTTGCTTAGATTAGCTAAACAAGTGTAAATATCATAGACTGCACTAACCAATTAAAGATGAAAAAAATATGACCATTTCATACTTATTGGGTACACTGCATGTTATTCCAGTGATGAACACACTAAAAACTCTGACTTTGCCACTGTGCGATCTATCAATATAGTAGAATTACACTCGCACCTCATACACTTATACACATTTTTAAAATCATAAAACCATTTCAAATAATGCAAAAGAGCATTTTATTAAATATTTATCTACAATTAAAGAAAAAAAAACTTTTGTCAAAAATCAGAAATTTTTAAGACCTGTATTATTATCTACCAAAAATCTAGACCTAACAATTTTTAATGGTGAAATATTAAAATAATTATTTTAAAATTAGAAACAAGACAAAGATGCTTTATTACCCTCTAATTCAGCCTTATACTGAAGATCCTAACCAGAGTAGCAAGATAAAACAAAGAAATAAAAGGTATAAACATTGGAAAGATAGAAACAAAATTATCATTACTCATGGATGATGTGATCATTCAAGAGAAAACTTAAAATGATGCATGCACAATGTAACTGAGTTTTTCAGAGCAACTGAATACATGAAAAATATGCTAACTAACAGAAAATGTAATTTTTTACCATTGCAAAAAAACCTGTAAGGCATCTAGGAATAAAACTAACAAAAGGTGTGCAAGATCTTTATTGAGAAAATTATAAAATTATTATAAAATATTAATGAGACCTAAATAAATGGATAACCTATCATCTTTCTATTTAGACAGAGTTCAATATAAGGAACTCCCCTTTCTCCAAGTGGAGCTATTGATTCAACATTATTTATATCAAAATCCCCAAACCATAAAAAACTAACAATTTTTAATCAGAACTTGGCAAGCTGATTCTAATCATATGAAAGATTAAAAAGCTCAAAGGCAGTGGTGGGGGAGTGTCAAGACATTTTACAGCCATGAAAGTAAGAAAAGGGTGGTATTCACACAATGTTAGATAATTTTACTAGTGGAAAGCAACAGAGCTTCTAGACACAGAGCTGTGGAAACAACAGAGGTAGCATCACAAATCCCTGGGGAAGAGAAAGACTATTATGTAAAATGAACAAGGAATTGTTTTATCCATAATGGGAAAAATTCTACATGATTTAAGAAATTAAATGTTAAAGGCAAAACTTAAAAAAAAAAACTTTTAAAGAAAATGTAAGAATATGTCTTACAACTTCAAGGTGAAAAAGGATTTCATAAAGGTGTAATCATTAGAGAAATGATCGGCAATCTAGTTATATTGCAATTGCAATCTTGTCTTTTGTTGTCAAAAGATACCAGAAAGAAATGCAGAAGGTAAGGCATAAACTGGGAGAAGATATTTACAACAGATGTAACTAGTAAAGAAGTAGAATACAGAATATATAAAGGATTTCTACAAACAATAAGAAAAAGGCCAACCTCGTAGAAAAATAGGCAAATGATATGAACAGGCATTTTAGAAGAGGCAACATGACTACTTCATAAATATGAAAAGATGACCAACCTCACTAATAATTACAATGAAAATTAGAAGGAAATAAGATACCATTTTATCCCCAATAGACTGGAAGCAGGGTTGGGGAGGTGGTTGCTGGAGAATAAATCAGAAAACAGTAATTGCTGCTCAGGGAGTTTAAATGGCCACAACCGTCCAGGAACATAATTAGGCTCCGTCTTACAAAGCTGAGTATTTGCAGACCCCATGAGCCAACAATTCCACTCCTAAATATAAACCCTTGAAAAAGCTTCACACATGCATCAAGCCACACATACAAGAATGATCACAGCAGTATGGTTTGTAACAGCCAAAACTGGGAACAAATCAACATGTCCATTAACAGAAAAATAGCCAAATAAACCACAGATGCCTGTCACAATAGATTATTAAGCCAGTGGGAAAACGAATAAACTATACAGTTCAACTTAACAGCCAGGATGAATCTGAGACACTACACTGAGAAAAATAAAATAATCAAAGACAACATATAGTTTTCATATCATTTTGTAAAGCTCAAAAACAGGCAAAACTAAGCTTTACAGTCATTACAAATTCATGCATCTGTGGCAAAATGCATTTATTTTTAAAAACAAGTGAATGATAAACATAAAACTCAGACTATTGCTGACTTCTAGAGGCAATGATGAAAGGTGGGGCGGGGGAGAGGGAAGGAAAACACGGACATACAAGGTGGTATTGGCAGTGTTGCAGTTCCAATCCTCATGTGCATTTTGTCTCAAAAATTACATGTATGCTATTTTTATAGATACACACACATAGGCTTTTATATGTCTCAAATGTGTAGAATGACATTTTTTTGTTGTTTTTTTTTGAGTTGGAGTCTTACTCTGTCGCCCAGACTGGAGTGCAGTGGCCGCTCCCGGCCACCGCAGCCTCGACCTGCTGGACTCCAGCGATGACATCTTTTGAAGTAAGAAAAACTCTAATTTAAAAAAGACATGCTTTAGTTATGTAAACAGCTTTCCTCTACTTCATATAGTATAAGTTCTGTAATTGCTGATAGTGACATTTAGAGACTACCACATATATAGAGTCCTCCTACTTCCTCCAATGCTCCCACCTAATTGTGAAAGTCAAGTTTCTAGGGCACTTCTACCTGATTGGAATAATGGAATTTACAGTGTTGGTAGGTTGTATTCTAGACTGAAATGAACTTCCTTATCAGAAGACTACATCAGAATTTAAATTTCTCACCCTTTTACTTTTTTGTGTATTGTTAAGTGTATTGAGTTTTGATGAGGGGGTTGTATTTTTTTGTTTTGTTTTGTTTTTGCATCTAGATCTCACTGTTACCCAGACTGGAGTGCAGTGGCATGATCATGGTTCAAGACAGCCTCAATCAGGCGATCCTTCAGCCTCAACCTCCTGAGTAGCTGGGTCTACAGCTGTGCTCAAGCAATCCTCCTGCCTTGGTCTCCGAAAATGCTGGGATTACAGGCATGAGCCACCGCACGCAACCTGTTAGATATATTGATAGTGATTGAGCCGGAAGGAACTAAGACATCGTCTGGTCCATGCCCCTCACTTTACCAATGAGTAAACTGAGACACTCAAAGGGGAAGTGACTTTTCCCAGCACGGCAATTGGCCAGGCATGGGGTTTCTGTAAGAGCAACTGTGCACTTTTCCAAAAAGGATGACCTTGTTTTGAAAGGTGGATTTCTTAAGCAGTGCACCCTGAAATTAGAGAACTAGAGGCTGAGAAATGTCTGAATCTTACAGAACAGTAGCTGCAGCAGAACCGACTGTAAGGTCAGTTTCCGTAGGCAAAGATGGTGGGAGGAACAAAGAAGAAATCACTCCTGGCCTAGGAACACACTGGCAGAAAGTGTAGGAATCACCTGCGAGAACTGTGACTTCAAAGGAATCAGCCTAAGTTAACCAGAACGCTCACTCAAGTTGGGTCCCAACAAACTGGATTAAGAACGCATGCTGTACTCTTTAACACATGGGTTCAGTGCAGCGTGAACCCTCCACTCTGCCACCACAAT